TAATTTTATTTTTTCCCTACTAATATTATAAATCCAGAGTAACTCAATATAACAAACATGGGTCTACTAGACAGGCAAACATAAGTCAAATGTTTTTCATGCTAGTTACTATATTTCTGTAGCCACACAGTCAGGTCTATGCTAAGGACAAGATATAATTAGGAGATTGTGGCCGGTAATGGTAACACTTGACATATAATAGTCAGACCAAAAACTTTAGCTCATATCATATTGGCACAGCATGAAGTATAGTACAGGCACATGGGCAGCAACAAAAACCTGGCATAGGTTCTAACCCTTCCTCAGTTTAATCAAGTCTTGAGTTCTATTTTATAAAGTTATTTAAAAAATACTTTAATATTGCACTAGTATGTTTCCTGACCCTGACCTGCTGTAACTTTGGAGCACATTACAAACTCCATGTGACAGGGCTAGATACAATATACTTTTAAAGCAGAACTCAAGTCTGCAGCAGTTTATATTTTAGGGCTCTTTCACACGTGCGTTGAGGGTTTACTGCACGATCAACGCTTATTAACGTGCCTAAAGCATTCACAAGGCATTCAGTAGGTATTTGCAAGGTATTAGGGAGGTGTCAAAAACGCTTGGAAAATGTTCTGCTCCCAAAAATAATGATAAAATAATGATTAAAAACATTAAAAAAATGTAAACAAACAAAAAATAAACAGCGTGGGGTCCCCCTCCCGATCCATACTGGACCTTTTAGGTGTGGTCAGAAAGTTAGGAGGGACTCCCAGTAAGAAATGTAAAAAGAAAAGTGTGTGGGGTTCCCCCTAAAAGTCATACCAGTCATTTAGGTCTGGTAGGAGTTTTAAGGGGGAACCCCACGCCCAAAAAACAGGAAAGAAGAACTTGGGGTCCCCCCTAAAATTCTTACCAGACCTTGAACTGAACACAGGCCTGGCAGGGCAGGAAAGGTGGGATGACCAAGCCCTCCCCCTCCCTGCACCATACCAGGCCACATGCCCTCGGCACTGGGAGGGTGCTTTTCCAGGGTCCCCCCGGGAAAAGCACCTTGCCCCATGCTGATGGGGACAAGGGCCTCTTTCCCACAAGCCCTGGCCCGTTGGTTGTAGGGGCCTGCGGGCAGGGGGGCTTATTTGCATTGGCATACCTCTTTAATTAAAGGGACACCCAAATGTGCCCCCCTTGTGAATGAGTAGGGGTACTTGTACCCCTACTCATTCACCAAAGGGTTAAGAGTGTAAAATGTAAATAAATACACCACACATTTGAAAGTCCTTTAATTGAACAAAAAAACACTACACAAGTTTTTGACCAGTCCTTTAACCACTTCCAGACCAGGTGTTTAGACCCCCTTCCTGGCCAGGCCATTTTTCAGTATTCAGCGCTGCAGTACTTTGACTGAAGTTTATTCCGTCATATAACGCTCTACTGAAATGAATTTTATACCATTTTTTGGGTACAGATAGAGCTTCATTTTGGTGGTATTTAATCACCACTGGGGTTTTTATTTTTTACTATAATTAGGAAAAATTAAAGAAAATTTTGAAAAAAACAAGTTTTTTTTAACATTATGTTAGGAAACATTTATTATTACCCAGTTTTTTGGTAAAATATAAAAGTCAGGGTCACGTCGGATAAATAGACACCAAACATGTCAAGCTTTAAATGGGGGGGGGCACCGATCGGCACCCCATACACGCGATCCGCCGGCTCTACGGCCGGCGGATCGCTTGTATGGTAACAGGCATCGCTCCCTGTTTTTAAATTTCGGCCGTTTCCCGCTCGCGCGCGCCCGAGGGAGCGTGTCTGAGCGGACGTCTAAAGATGCCCGCTCAGATCTAGAGAGCTCCGGGCCGGCCGTTTTTTTTTACTATGGCCGGCCCGGAAGTGGTTAATTAAAAAAAAAGCAAGCAACTTCTAGCAAGCAGTAGAGATATGCAAAAACATTTTTTTTTTAAACTTTTCAAACAAGTTAAAACTTACCTGTTTCTTCGCCGCGCACTCCCGTCCGAACATCTGAAGAGTCTCGGGCGGACGCAAAGGATCTTGGGATGGGCGCATGCGCAGTTCAGATCTTCGGCCAGGAGATGAGGAGAGACACAAGGTAAGTCTATGGAGCAGCGTGCAACCGCACAGACTCTGTGGGACTGGAAGTGCCAGCTAACACAGAGGAGTCAGTGCTGGATCGGAGACAAGCACCAGCGCTGGAGAGACAGCTGAAAATGACAGTAAAGAAGAAGATGGTCGAATCAAGAGGCATCAGTTAAAATAAGTCCTTACAGCAGGATTGGGAAGGGGCAAAAAAAGTTTGACTTTAATGTCACTTTAAGGCAGTCAGTGGGTTTTGTAGACTGGACTGGACGTCTGCAGGCACAAAGTGTGCCTGCTGCAATTTGCTTTAAATAAACTTTGGGTGCAAGGGGGGTGTGGAAGGCAGAAAATAGAGGGGAGGAAAGATGAGGCACGGAGAGGGGAAGGGAGGGGGAGAAAATTAAGAAGAAGAAAACAGGGGAGGCTAGAATTCTGCTTTAAAAAAAATTCTGTCTGTTAAAAAAAATTCTGTCTGTTAAAGTGACACTAAACTCAGGCGTTAAATCTTAAAAATGTTAACTATTAACAACAAATATAACTTATGTGTGTATAACGCAACTGTAGATCCTGAAATTGTCTCTGAATTCATGCTGACACTGTCCTTTCTGGAGGGTGGCTACAACACACACAGGGACCATGGGGAACAAAAGTAAAGTAGCCTACACTCCAAGCTCACTCCTGTGATGGACTACAATATCATGTTTAATTTTGTTATATGTATTGATATTGTAGTCTATCACGGAAGCAAGCATGGAGTGGTGGAAGGAAGGACAGCACCAATTCAGAGATGATTTGAGGATCTGCAGCTAAGTGATACACAAATAAGCTATATGT